TGGCGGCGAGACGCCAACGACGAGGAACGCGGTCGCCATTATCGATCGGCCTCACAATTACTATTCCCGTGAGTACTTTAATCGTCGAGAAGTCCCGAGGCTTAGAGAGATAGAGAGTATTTATTTAACGCTCTAATGGGATAGAAAATCGCGACAGCGAACGACTGGACATACCAGGGATTCCTTCCAACACTGTAAAAAAAGTAAAAGAAGAACTACAACAAAATGGGGAAAAATCCCGCAAATCTGCATAATTTGTTAAAACTGGTTTGCCACTTAGCGTCTCATGCCGACGATAAGATGTTGATATAGAAATAGGTTAATATAAAAATCGGCGTCGAAAAAGGTCTCGCAAGGAACAAGGGCATTACACTTGTGTATACCTTAATTTCTTGGCTTTTTTTTTTAAGGCTATACAAAAATCCTTTTTTCTTTCTGGGGTGCGATTAACCTCGAAAAGTGGAGCAGACTCGAGGAGAGAAACGACTGCGCGTCGAGTTTCGATAAGGCGGGTCGTTCGTCGGTATCGATCACGATCCAATTCCAGCCTAGGCGAGATCGGGCAGGCTCTGCGAATCGTCCTATCGAGGCCCTCTTATCAGCATCCAACTCCGCGACCGATCGGAGGGCTCCTTGACACCTTTTCCGAGGAGGCTGACGAATGTCGTCGATCCGATAGGCCGGGACCGTAGAGTTCGTAAAATCGACGGGTCCAGCCACGTCCTCTCCGAGGAGCGGACCAACACAGACTCCGATGTTAATGGTCGGCTCTTGCATATTTAATATACACCCTGGACTCTTTCACAATGGACACTTTCGGCGGTTTATTTGCCATGTGACTGGGCACGCCGCGACGTGGTGGGGCGATTTTAAGGGGAAAAAGAAGTGCCGGCTTTCGTGTCCGATAAGCGGCGTATAAACCTCCATAACTGGCGTATCCGATGGCAATAAAGCTACCTTGTGAGCAAGAATAGGTATGAGGACGTATAAGAGGTGCAACTTCGCTACCGACCGATGCAGTGCATACGCCGACCGGATACCGCGGCTACTTCCGACTCCACTGGGATAATCACTTCTGTATTCCGGAATTCTGGTCGAACTGCACACACCGTGGGGAATCTCTATCTTCGATCGAACACCGATTGACATTAGGAAGATGCACTGTACGGCGGTGACTTCTTGCGCGAATCTTCTGCACAGGTAATTTTCGATTAGAAGTGAATTCAGGATTTTCGGTCCACTTAAATCCGCCACGCGGTTAAAATCCTGCGGAATTTTGAATTTAAATCTCGTACAAAATTAAAATCCTCCGTAACTTAGAATTTCGTTTGATATAAATTTGATAGAAAATTGAGCGACGTGGGAAATTTTTGGAATTGGCTCTTTCACCGAGAGAGGGAAGAATTTTTTCGAGGCTTCGAGATCTCGCGGCGTGGACGACGACTGCAGGATTTTTCTGCATCCCTCAGGAGGAGAGCTCCGCGTCCAGGAGAGAATCGGCGACCTAACGGTACCAGGAGGACCTCCGACAGGTCGCCAAAGGGATGGTTTCTTATGCACCTCCCCTGCGCGGTGCCTTTACAAGGGGCGGGTTCCGCGGGTTTTTTTGCTCCACTTTCTCCGATTTCTGGAAGGAAACCGCCAGACTTTCCCCGGGGAGAAAGTAAAAGCTTAGTCTTAGGTCTACCCCTGAGTCGGTGGGACTCCCTTTCAAGGAACCCTTACGGTACTTTTATGCGGTCTGGGGAATGCACGGAGGGTTGGCGGCGATTTCAGAAAAGGGACCGCAGTGAGCTCTCATCGCGAGGAAAAAAAAATTCTCAAAAAATGTCTAACCGACTTCCATCCATTTCTGCACTCATGCAAATGGCCCTATCGAGTCGCTCGCGAAATAAGTCCGATTCCCAGGTAATTGCATCAATTTCCGCGCCGCGTTAAGGCAGGATTACCGGAAACGCGAAACTCGAGAGCCTCGACTTTTTCCTCTTTCGGGGTATCAGCCATCCGGCTACGGAGACGTCTATCTATCTCGTTCGTCGCATGAGATGGCTTCCTGTATCGTGTATGATCCGCGGTCCATGCGCGAGGGCCGGATCCCGGCTCATCTCTGCGGAGATGAAACGAGCCGAATCCGAGCGAAAGGAGCGCGCGGTGCATCCGCAGAAAATCCGCAAACGCCCCCGTACCCTCGTTCGCGGCTTCATTTCTCGCGGATTCGTTCCTGGGCCCTCTCATCCGATGTTCCGGGGATAAACTTGGAATATCCCGGGACGTGGGAGAACACCTCGGTACCATGTACACATAGGTACCCGCGTACATGGCCCCCTCGCGTCCTCCTGGGCGCCTTCTGGAGTACCTTCCTCACCCCCCAGTAATTTTCATTTCTCCCGGAATAATTTCCAAAGCCGTAAAAGATTCATCTCCAAAGGGTATCGCGGGAGTATGGGGCTCCTCGGGCGGAATTACCAAAAGTACGGAGGATAGGGCCCGGCCCGATAAGGGCGCACGTTTTTGGGAGTCGACCCGCGTTATCGCGCCCCGATGCCCCCCGGCTTCATTCTTCTCCCTCTTTCGAAAGATCTCCCAAAAGTAAGCCATCAGTTTTACCGCGTGCGAGATGCAGTCAGCCCTAAAGTGGAATACCCACTTCCGGTACTCTGGTGCTTTAAGGTATCGCATTCCTCGCGATCGATAAGACCTCCGCCCGGTGACGAGTCGATGGCGCAAGTCGCGTGCACCGAGTGCATAGGGTGCACCTCGCGACCACTCCCACTGTTTAATTTCCCCCCGTTCATTATTTAGCACCATAGACGCAATGTGCGTCTCGAAGGAAATCCCGAAGCTAATGGAATTTCCGGCTGCAATTTTCCCCCCCGTTATTAAAATCAAGGAATAAAAACATGAAATTATATATGTAAATTTGATAAAAATTGGTACATTCGCGGGGGGTTATTTTCGGTGTTTCCATATCGCTCCCAGTTTCCCGTAGCCACGATTCCCGGAGATTTTCTGCTTACTATGGCGCGGCTCATTTTTGCGGCGTTTTAACCGGCGAGAGGAGAGGAGAAAATAAAAAGGAGAGGAAATGCCCCCCCGGCGTAGTTTCGCACGGCGGCTCGGCACATTTTCGCGTGCGCGATAATGTCGGCCCGGGGGAGATAACGCTTAGCGCGTCTACTCGGCCGCTCGGTAAATGCAGATGCGTCCGTGCCCCGGGGTGCATTCCGCGCAGTAATATAATATGCGCAGGGGAAATTCAGGAGGATAGGTCGCCGGTGGCTCCTGTTATTCCGAAGGCCGGGGGTGCATCCCGATGCATTATGCACGCGGCTGCAAGGCCGAGCGAATAAAGCCTCCGAGCGCGCGTTCTCATTGCACCCTATCTCGATGCACCCGGCGACGCTTATCTCCGCGCGGTGGACGCATTGAAATTCAAGGCGCATAGGCGAGCCGGCATATCGAAGTCTTATTCGATGAGGACGAGGGGGCGAATAAGTCGAGCTCCAGGGGGGAGGGGCGAATTCCGATGGAAACGGAAGGTGCACAGTGGCGCACACTCGACTCCTCCGTGGTAAATTGACTTCGTTCTATTTTTTTTCCCCCTCTCGTCCGTACGTGACTGCATTGAAGAATCGCGATGCAGGTGGCCAGGAGCGAGATCCGATTCTATGACAAAAAATGCAGTTTCTTTGTTCGAGAGAGTATTAATTCAAGGAAGGCTCGTCTCGACGATAGTTGATGAATATTCATATAAATTCGGGGCGTCTGGAATATTTGAAAAATATGAAATATGAAAAATTAAAAAATTAGGGAGAGAGAGGGGGGGACTAAAAATCGATGCCACGGTTCTGGGTCGACGGGCCATGGCCGCCATGGGTGTGCCGAGGGTTCCTTGCGCTTTTCGCCCCCTCCGTGCATTCTTCCCTAGGGTGAGTGCCCAGGTGCAGGGGCGGGTGCAATCGGGGCGTCCCGATCGTTCCAGGGGCGGGGGCTGGGTTCGCTTCGACCCTAAACACCGAAAGCCCATCTCCCCTTCCTGGGACCGTCGAGACGCGTCGCCGACCTAAGTGCATGGCCGACGAAACCGCGACTCGTGGGTGCACGTAGCTGCATACGTCGACTCGGGCCTGCATGCACGAGCGACCCGCGGTGCACACGTTGCATCGCCGCTTCCGAAAGTGCAACTCCACGGTAATGCGTGCACGTAGGCGAACGCTTATTCCACGTCGGGAGGAAGTTCTTGCGGAGAACTTACGGCTAACTTGCGGAGAACTTGCGGAGAAAGTTCTCTCGCAAGTGCCCTCTCTGCAGTATGCACGGGAAGACGAGAAATGCATCCCCCTTATGAACACCCCTCGTTCCTACAAGTGACACGTGATATTGAATTTGAATCATCAGTAAAATTCCAATAGCTTAAGTCTAGATTCATGAAACATAACCTATACGATATCTAGAGGAGGACCTTATTGCTCCGTGTATATCATTTCTGAGATGAAACCCATGCTGTTTGTATTTATCTTTGAGGTCCAGGGCGAGAGGGGCCATTTTCGTATGATTTCTTGTGGATCTCGCGAGGGGCCATGTTCCGATTAATCTCCAGGAAGTACTGCGGAGCGCGTGCGCGTCCTTGGCGAGCGGTCGAGAAAAGTCGCCACGTGGGCGATCTGTACAGGCGCGTGGTCGATCGGTCGTTTCGACCGACCCTTATCGAGAAAATTAACGGCCCGACACAGTCACTGGCACTCGTATCGGCACGCACTCCAATTTTCCTTTGTGCCGGACACCTACGACTCGGCCCGCCGCCCCTTGTTCCGTTTTTCTCGGCTCGACCAGCTGATTGCGGGCGGCCATTATCGCTCGCTACGAATTAAAATCGCCCCGCTCGTAATCGAGGCAATCACCGACGCCCAGATAGCGAGGAAAGCAAAGGCTTGTCCTCGCTCGGAATCGCTGCAATCGCCGATCTCTCACATATTTTTACGTGTTTCTATTTCTTGCAGACGCGGACTGGGAGGCACCACTAATGGCGGCCCGGCGTTGCATGGGTGAGTCGAAAATCCCTAATTTATAACAGAAACTGTTTAATTCCGTAACGGCGCGTCGTAGCCGGGGAACGAAGCGTGTTTTACCTTATATCTTCTTCTTGGGTTCGGCGTAGATGGGACCCGTGAGGTATAAATTCTGTCCCGCCGCCATGTTCGGTGAAAGTGGAGCCTCCGGAAGTTGCGGCCCACAGGTGGAATGCCCATCTCCGTGTGTTCGGCCCGTCCTTGGCGGAGTGTGGAAAGACTTCTAAAGTACCGTTTAGTCGTAATGGGAGTTGGTCGAGTGTTGATGTCCGCGGAATACGAAGCTTCGGTGGAGAAGTACGTGGAGATGGCGAGTATAGAGGAGGGGTTGAACTTACCTCCTCACGTGGGGCGTCCCTGGTTTGTGGAAATCCGAAGAGGCGCGTAGAATGCGAATGATCGGGCCTTTCGGATATCTCGTGACACCCTGGGGCCCAAGAAGCGATAACGTCACATTTTCGCCATTCTTGGGTCACGGCCTCGAAGAGGGCTTCCTCTTCTTCCGCTTCCCATTGCCTGTAGATATTTATTCATACCGTTATTCAGGGTTGACCCATATTCCCGAAAGTGCCTCGAAGCGTCTTTTATCATCGTACACCTGATTCCGCTAAGATACCTCCCGAATATGACGGCTCGGCCTCGGAATCCATAAAACGCTGACGTACGAGGTCGTAAAACGGAATTACGCGCCCCCTGTAACAGGGGGCGTTTTTCGCCCGTCGAAATTCCGCGCGACGCGAAAAACCTGGACAATCTGGCCGTCTGTGCCGATTCAATGCCGGACGGGATAAACATAAAACATGACGGTGGCAAGGCGAGGAGCCGAGTCGGATAATATTACGAAGAAACGTCCCTTCCACACTAAGCAGGATCCGCCGACCTCCACCATGGCGGCCCCTCCGCCCACTGCCATTACTTCCACCACCCCTTTCCTCCCCCTTTGGGAAATTGATATACGTTCCTTCCGCGTCCCAATATGGAGTAAACAATGCTTAGTCCCCGAATATTCTCCAGGCTCTTTCCCCCTTTTTGGCTGGTTTACATTTCGGTAATCTCGAGAAAAACCTAATATCGCTAGTTTCCACGGCGCGGATTACGTCTTGCAGCTTGCGCGCAAAAAGTGGGGTTAGAATCGTTCCCGGTTATTACGTGTATTAGTGGCGCGCGTACCATTGAAAGTTTCCCCGGTGGGTACAAAGAGAACCGCCATTGCGGCCTTTCAACGAGCACGCGTGCCATTACTCCACCAGGCCTTTCTTGCCGCACCGGAAAATTGATATATGCTCCTTCCCGTACGTTTCAACGTGTAATAAGCAATAAACAATCCTCCATGTCGAACCCCCCTCCTGGGAATTTTCATCACGAGACTTCGGCAAGCCCTGTCGAAATGTAATATCACCGTTTATCATCAAGGGGGGGGGCCAAGATTTCCGCCGCGATAATTTCAAGTGAACTTTCCTCCCGCCACCCCACGTGCTTTCCTCCGTACGACCAGACTTCCGGTGATCCATAATATTCCCGGAATCCCAGAGGGCAGATTTCGGCGCCAGAAATATTCCTGGACCCGGTACCGCGGATTTCTTTATTTTCCGCCGTTCGGGGATTTATTTGGAAACCGGCCGAAAAACACCTCCCGGAACCCGACGACTCGGATCGGCGAAACGAGATCTCGGAATTCTGGCCGCTTTGAAGCAGCCGGCTCTAATTATTTGTACAGGGACGAAATGGCGCCTCGAGATTGTCACTCGCCGCGTTCTAGAGAGACCCCATGGGAGATCGCTCTCCTTATTAATAATATATTAACGTAAATACCCCGGTAACGGCCGTAAAAATCCCCGGGTAGATTTAACGTCCTCGGGAAATATGGGGGAATAATTTCAAGCCTCGAGAAAGCACCCGGAGATCAAGTGGTACCGCCCGGAATAGTCGCCGCGTAAACGCGTCGGCACGTCACGGGCGGAAAAGTGCAGGCTAAGTGCATCGGCAAGGCGGGTGCAAATAGGGGCCTGTAACGCGTTCGTAGGTACATAGGGAGGCCGTCCAGGGCGGAGCCGTGCTCGTAGTTACCCGTAAACGGCGGCGCTTGAGTAGCAGCAAGTTAGCTCGAGAGTAGCTCGTCGGGAGGTTCCGCGACTCGGCTCCGTCGTAGACGCCTATCTGGAGCTTATTCAGCCGCCATGGCCCGACCACCCCCGGGACAGATTACGGTATAAATTGTAGATATCTTCCAGAGGTCCTTTGTTAAGCCCTAGTGCCCTATGAAGTCCAATACTCGAAGGAGCTTTCCAAAAGGACATCGATCAGCGAAGTCAGAGCTTCGATCTCGATCGCGATCTCAAATCGATCCCGAAGGAAGAGAGGATGAATATTCCTGGACCCGTAGATGGAAGCCGAGGGGCATGAGACTTTGTTGCCGAGTCCAGGAACGCGAGAAACGGCTACCGAGGATCGAGCACCTCGTTAAGGCGTGGAGGGGCACGAACACCCCATCTCCTCCTCCGACGTCATCTCCTATCCCGAGATAAGTCCGGAGATCGGCAGAAACTGCGAGTCGCGGCCTCGAGAAACGTGGATTCGTTTTTCCGAGTCACATAGGGGTACCCTTTGAGGCATGGAGACGACGTCTGGGGGGTTATGTCAACCCGGACCCACCCCTAACCCGGTAGGGTGGCCGAGGCATGGATCTCCAATCCCATCAGCGGGCAGAGTCCGAGCGGACGACCTGGATATTGGTCATTCCAGGAGGACGAGATTACTTTCCCTCCCAGGTTTCCCGAAATTATCGCGACTTCCTCCGGACCCGTCTGGGTGTTGCCCTGTACAAGGGTATCCACCATCCCCGGCCACGTGTCGGAGGACTATCCAGGAAAACTTGAAGATTCCCAACTTCCTGAAAATGACGCGTCCCCGATTTCTCCCAGGAGTCCTTCGCGCGGGGTCTAATCTCCTTCCTGGTTTTTCTGTTTCCCGGAGCGAGCGCTTATCAGGGGCGATTTGCACCTATCCAGCTCCACCTGACCCTTCACCCGGGGTGCTTATCCCTTATCCCGGGAGGAAGTCGCTCCACCTGGGACTCTCCTCCATCGGGCGTCTCTCGGGGTATCCGGGAAATCTTGGGAAAGTTCCGCGACAGCGGCGGTGCACTTAGGAGCCGGGCGAGTCGAAATTGTATTGGCGGGAGTGAGAGGGTGCGAGTGGCCGGAGCGCGGGAGGGAGAGAGAGGTCGGCGGGCCCGCATCCGTGGCGTACCCTCCCGTATACCTACACACCCATACGCGTGCAAACACGTGTACACCGAGAGAGACGGTCCCCCCTGCCCCCCGGGAACGAGGGCCAGCAGTAACGTTGGTATGCCGTGCATGCCGGTACAGAGGGGCTCCGCATCGATCGAGCGGCTCCGGCGGAAAGCCTTGCTCCGATTGGCCGCCCCTCCCCGCGCGGCCGTCATCGTCTCGGCGTGTCTTCGTCTCTTCGCCGAAACTCCCCCCTTCGGGGGGAAGGAGAGGGCCCGAAGAGCGCGGTACTCGAGGAGAGCGGCAGGCCGGGGTCACGGGAGAGAGAGACGGAGGTACCTTTGGGATCCAAGTGCGAGAGAGAGGCTCGACCCAGGTAGACCGGAGGGAGAGAGAAAAAGGCAGACGAGGAAAAAGACGAAGGGCGAGGGCGGCGCAGCAGGGACGGAGATGGAGATCGCGCGGAACGGGTGCGGGGAGGGGAAGGGCCGCGAGATTGGGGCTGGGGGGAGGGGGAGGCTGCCTGAGAGAAAATGGAAAATCGGTGGACGTCCTTGTTCCGCGGGTCTGAGGTGGGTCGATGGGTAGAACCACCTACGGAAAGATGGAGAGAAATGCCGTTTAACCCTCCCCCCGACCCACCCCCCGGAGAGGACTGCTCTCTCCCACCTTCTTTCTTATTATACCTATTATCAGAATTATACGACCCCGGCTTTACGGAAAACGAGCGCGAGAGAGGGGGCAGACGGGGGGGGCGCGAGCCACTGAATAAGGCACGCCAATGAATTAACCGGTTAAACGCTCGGAGGGAGGGGAGCTCTTCTCTCTTTGCCTTCTTCTTCTCCTTCTTCTTCTTCTTCTAAAAGATCCCTCGACACTCGCCTTCGCGACGTTAAAAAGTATATATTATATTCCGGGTAATGTGCCGCATGTGTGTGCGGTAATTGGGAATGCGGTGCGCGGGTCGCGGCACCTTTGTTCGCTCTGTGGATCGGCGCGGCGAGTTGCAGAGTTGCAGTTGCAGTTGCAGCGCTGCAGTTGCCGCGATGCTTGGATGGGCGCCGAGACGGGGCGCGGGGTGGGACGGGGCGACTGGTACCAAGCCGGGTACCAAGGGTACCGAGCGCAAGCAAATTCTAGGAGCGGGGTTACAAATGTCCCCGCCGACTCGGATGTCATGCCCGGTAATTAGATAACCGCTCTTTTTGTTTGATTTTTTTTTAGAACGGGGGAAAAAGTGGCACACAAGGCCGATCATCCTGGAACACCGGGCGCAATGTGGCGCGTCGATGCGTTCCACGGTTGGTCTTCTTTGCTGAGGGTTTTAGAATATTTTTTTGCTGATAGCTCTTTAAGAGAAATTCCACAGTGGATCGTTTTATAGATCTCCGGTCACCTGGGAAGATTTTCTGTATTTGGATTGATTGGTTTCCTTTTTCTTTTTTTTTTTTTTATGGGTGCCGAGAAGGGCACCTCTTTTGTCGGCGGCAAGAGAAGCTCTATCCTCGTGACGCAATTCGCGAATTAGCCGGCGCCGTCGATCTGCCTCCAGCTCAGGTAATGCTCGGCAATAAAGACGGAAGGCAACGTTTACCGTAGAGGCGTACGCGCGGGCTAATTACCGAGGGGGAGAAAGAGAGGAGAGAGGGACGTCCTGTGAGCTACGCGGCCGGTAGGTCGCTCGTAATGGCGCCTTCGATGATTAGCAGCTGTCATTGGTGCAGCTTGTAATTACCGCGAAAT